AGCAAACAATCGTTTTTAAGGCACTCGTGGTAAATTATATCAGGAAATGAACTATGTGCTCGATTTAAACGGTCCTAATTTAGGAAGTAGAAAACATTATATCAAAGATACAAAATACCTCAAACGGTACAGTCTATGTTATGCAATCAAGGTTTTCCTTAACACAAATTAGCGGGCTAAATTATGAAGAAAACAGTTAGTGCAAAAGAGTTCAATACCTGATAATCAATAAAGATACTCCCGACTAGGTGGGATCGAATAACTGTCTGCAGGCTTAAGAAAAATAAAAAATAAAATAAAATACAAATATAACCGACTCAAATGGAATCAAAATGACTAACAAAATGCACAATTAAATGAACCAATAGGAACAAACTGCAGGTGCATGCATGGAGGGGTTTTCACACACAAAACATTCAAAATGGAGCTTACACTTAGGTCCAATGTGTTTCATAGATTCCGAGAACCGCGAAGTTGTTTCTCCTCAGTTCCGTGGCTTTTTGATTGGCACTTCCGGTCTCCCATACTGTCCGAACTTTCCATGTACCTATATAAATTGTTGCTTTGGTTGTTGGAAAAGGCATCGGCCTCGTGACTTCTGAAGCATCTCGGCTTTCATCATGAGGCGTCATGATTCTTGTGAAAGAATAGTTCTCAACTCAGAGGTCAGAGTCTAAATGTTTTAAATTGTTTATTCTGCTTAGCGTTTTTCAGCAAGGCCGTTTTCTGCGGGACATGGTTGCCGACCCCACGCCAACCTCTCCCCTTTTGTGTGGGCTTGGGACCGGCAGTAACCCTAGAAGAGCTACAGGTGGAGTTAGAAAGACGTTAGATTTACAAAATTCATTAGCGTGTCAGAAAACAGAACGTTTGAATGTCAGTAAATTTTGGATTTCAAGATGCTTTAAACTGGTAGATTTCGAACAACATTGAACTCACAATAGATCCCGACAACAAGAGCTTCTTATTATCTGTCATAGTTGAGCAGCATGTCTGAAATATACGTTTCATACAGCGGTGGCTGATATTTGTGTTCTGGGCTGTACGGGCTGAGCTAGGCAAGAACTTACTAAAGAGGACTCATAGTCAACTATTGGCTGCTTGTGCCGGCTAGAGACTTATTGGTTTAGTATAGGGACAAGGTTATATGAGTCGGTGTTCTGACTGGCAAATTTGTTATGTGATATTTTAACGGGCCGTGAGACAATACAGTCTTCGCAATGTTCCCCAAAAATGCATGATCCCACACTTCTCGTTGTTAAATAGTAACTGCCATAAGTACTTGAGGTCACTTCGAATCTGGGATCCAACTTAGTTCATTCCTCTGATTAGTTTTGTCAGAGGGATAGCTAATCTTGCGAGTGATAAGTGGTAGGTTGGTTGTACCTTAAAAAACAATTAGGCTACCTGGCCTTAATTAAAACACTAATAAGAACAACTGTTTCCATCATAATGCCAAATAGAACAGATTAATTTGAAACGCCCAACATTTGGTAAGTTTGGGTCCAGCCTTAAGGTACGTTTTATACTCGGAGATTTGAGAAGTAGTGTATATGGCAGTCTGGAAGAGAAGTGAGGCGATGACTGAGTAAGTACATGGAATGAACTTAAAATTGGTAATTTACTCAATCAGTAGTAGATAGAAGCAATACAGGAGGAAGATTGCCATAGTCTGATGATCGGAACTACAAGTTGATGGAATAAGGCTTCACAAGGGTCACAGACATTCTGCTTGTTTACAAGTAAATCACCAGGTAACTATAATTTTAATGTTTGCTAACATAAAAGAAAGACTCTGCTGTCTGTTGAAATATTCTTCATGTCCTTCATTGTAGCGTACTTACGGCTATCCGTCAAACGTAATTGAGTGCGTCCAGACTATCAAAGTTATCTATAGTATCAGTGTAAGGCAAACAATTAAAGATTTGAAGTGAATCGATTGCTATGGTACAAAGAATAGTGGTTTATTCCAAACTGTCACCATAAACGTTGAGCGCGCAACTTTAGGTACTTGTATAATATCGACTGACAGAGTATTATCAATTGTAGCCCCAGAAACTCTTGGAGGCTTAAGCATTGTGAGGCTTGACTGACTGTACAGAAGGATAGGAGATTGCATGGAGGTTAGGGATGAAACAGTACATGAGTGGTTAGATCAAAATTCCTTAGACAGTGGCTTAGTTGGTGTAACGACCGAACTGCCAATATTCAGTTTGAACACAGTACTGACCAAGCAAAATGTATTCGAATAGGCCAGACTACGTTCTTCTGTATAGCTTACAAAGCGTTTTTGAGACACGCGTACTAAATTATATCAAAACACAAACTTCGTGTTTAATTTAAACGGTTCTAATTTAGGAAATAGAACAAATCAGATCAGAAATACAAAATACCTCAGACGATACAGCCTGTGCTATACAGTCAGAAATTTCTCTGACGCTAAGTAGCGTGCTAAGCAATAAAAGAAAAAGTTAATACCAAAATGTACGTTACCTGAGGATCAATAAAATATTCCCGCCAAGATGGGGTCAAATATCTATCCGCAGGGATCCCAGCAATCCTCCCAAGCAGACAGTAAAAAGGTTAACAGTCACACGCTGTATCACGCCGTGACCTTGAGCTTAGTCAAATACGACCTTACTGTCAACAGTCCGGCAACATGCAATAGAAAATTAGATAGCAAAAGATAGGTCTTTAATCAAAATCACATAATAAAGGCTCAGACGAGGAAGACTGAAGAACAAAATATGTGGTTAAATGAGATCTGAACAAAGATTAAAATACACGACAGAGAGAAGAAACAGGTAAATGACAGTACTGTCCAACAAAAAAGCTGTGGAGTGATTTTCATCGTTCTCTTTCCGCTACAGTTGGTTTATTGTAAGAGCTTCGAATGTATAAGTCTTGTGAGGAGTCTGGATTATATGTAAATAAAAGTAATGTTTATAACTGAGGTAGGATCAAATTTTTCACTCTTCTTAGGCTTTACATGAAAATTATTGGGGGATTAGAAACTCCACTAGGTTCGCTGTAGTCGAAGAACTTACTCGAAAATGAGGATGTATCCTCGGCAGGAGTTAAGAGCGTTATTCACATGACCATTTGTAAAGATGTCATTATGATTATCTGCAACCATCGGAAGAAAGTTTACAGGATAAATGGGGGTACCAAGGAAATGCCTCAATAAAATAAATAGCCTTATAAGAGACAGATGGTCTTGGTGAGGAAGTCGGACGTTGGGGCGCAATTGTTGCTAAGAAACTAGTGCAATGTTGAGCTATGAAAAATTAGGTAATTATTTGAGACAAGCTTTGTCATAAATTTGTGGCCGAAAGTGACATATATTGAGTTACGCTACAATCGAATTGAGCGACTCATATATCATTTTAAGGGCGCTTATAAGTGACTACTTCTCCAACTTCTAAGTCGCATTGGCCTTCAGTACCTACACTGGCAATCTGTAGAACCTGTGTTGCCTATGGACCGTGCTATACTCTGTTAAGGCCCATACATACAACCTTAAAAACTATACGAAGTGGTTTAAAGCTGGTTGTCAGATTAACAAGGAAGAGAAGTATGGCGATAACTCATTGGTCGCATTAAAAATTCATGACAACTTAGCTGTTGCGATTCTGTGTTTAAGAAAATCGTTTAACCAGGCTAATCGTCAGAACCTAAATAAAAAATCTGTTTGCAAAACTAACTAACACCATATACCTAATTATACTAAAGTATTGAGTTGTCTTTTCTCAACTACTGCGTAATCTACCTCGACACACTTTAGGTTGTGAGCATTTCAGCAAAGATTCTTCTAGGCAGAGTATGAGAGTGGCTCGAGCTGGCACTGATCATTGATAGTTCTTTTAATTTAATTTTAGTCATTGTAAATCCTGGCTAAGGATGAAAACAAACTCTAGTGTCACAAACACTCTATTGACATGGAATAGGTAAGCAGACTACTGGTATCAGAATGTACCCATGCATCTTCAGATATTTAGTTTGTTTGGATTGGATTGGAAAGGTTTGAGGGCCTGAACCATGTTGAAGTCACTATACTTCATAGTTTTTTAGCCTGGCTTACCACACGTGATAATGAGTCTATCCTGCTTTTGCGTTGCAATGCTAAGACAAATGGAGCCTAATCATATAAACGATTTATTCAAATGCGAAGAGAACGGAGAAGTACAAAGTACAAGAGCGATCAGGTGCTGTAAATGCCACTTTCATATAGTGTATCCATTTATTTGTATTACTTATTCTTGGATTCTGAAAGTATCCGGTGATCTAGTCAATTCTAAGCGACCTATCCTGAAATACAGAAACGATTCAGATTAACATGCGATTTGGCTACGGCTTGCTGATATTCCACTGGCTTTAAACATTCAATATTTCCTAGTCCCTCATAGTATTTGACACATTGGAGTATAAAGTTCCACTGACATACTTACTCATGAGGTTACTTATTTCTTAATTAAAAGGCTACTTACAGGGCATTGCCGTTCGTACCTATGTTAATAGAACATACTCCAAATGAATCTAATTCCCAGTTATTATGCGATTTGACTAGGTAAATTACAGTTGATGAACTTTTTCAGAGATCTAAAACTGTTCCTCAACATCAATATGTGTTTGTAAAGAGGCTTATTTGTTCAGTTGAATCGTTTGTAAAGAAACTTGATAATTTTTCGAAGACTCGCAATAGCATCTCGTATCCATTTGATGAAGCCTTATTTAACTCTTCTGAATCATGTACCTAAATCCTAACCTGAATGAATAGGTAATCTATCGCTGTCAAACCAGAATATTGTTGAGCAAAAAGTTTTATTTTCATTCATAACCATTCTAAACATTTGAAAGCTGTCTCTGTACAAATTTGTTAGATACTAGAACCAACGTTAGCAGTTTCTGAGAAAATTAAAAGCTGCTGAGTAAAATTTAACCAAAGTTTTCTGATTACTTATTGAAATGGTCATTGCAGTCGTATGACTTCACTTGTCTGACTGGCGTTTGTTTGAATCAATGAACGAACCAAACTTGTAGCTAACCTAGAAAAAGGTTATGCAGATTCCGCTCTACTCGCAAAAAGTGTTGTTCCCTCGTGTTGGGACGTTAATAGCTAGTCAACTTATGATGTCATTTTCAAATGACTGAATGTCATGCATATCAAATACTTGCATATTTCACATTAGTTTGGAGTTATATTTAAATTTTTGAATCAAAAAAACTATGTTAAGCTCCACCGCTTCTGATAATTTAGCCTGTACTGATGAAGTCAAAGTTTATGAAGATGAAGGGGAAGAAGAAGAACAGCAGAAATCCTCAGAAAACCTTACAGAAGATAAAGTTAGGTTGGTTATCGAGAGTGAAACTCAAGTAAGTTCATAGTTTTATCCTATTTTTAATTTTGTGGTTTTACATAATAAATCGATTAAACAGAGTTTCAATAGAAAATTTCAAGCATAATCGTACTGTTGAACTCACTACTAAAATCATGAAAAACCACTATTTTAACTCATTTTGTTAGGCCCGGCTAATTTTATTGAATTCAGTTTGTGTATTATGCAAGTATAATTTAACTACTCATCATCAGTTTTCAAAAAATGTACTCTTACTCTAGATAAAAAGTTTTTTTGATCACGAATTCACGTGTAAGTTTGGCGTATACCGCTTGTATTATTAGTTCTGTGAGTTGGAATTATGTTCCATCACATTACTTAATTGGTTTTTTTATCTCACTATCCTGCTAACCCTTCCACGTAAGACTTTTTGCTTATCCATTTGTTTGTTCGTAATTTGGAGTACAACAAGGCAGAGTGTAAAGCCGTCTAATTCTAACTTCATGGTTTTCATGCTGACTTAATTTCTGCTACATAAGCTGTTGGTTCTTTATTTATTTGTGAATAAACTTTTGTTGATGGATCATAAATATTAGGCTTGTGAATATGAATCTCAAACACTGACTAGTTGTTTTCATGTAATGCTAAACGTCAGTAGACTAACAAACGGCTCTTCGATCTACATAAGTTACAAGTTGAAAACTTATTACACTATCATAAATCAAATCATTTAATCACTAAACAGTGTTTCTGTATTATTTACTTGTCCACCAACAATCTGAAATTTATGTAACTGTCAAAGTCTGGGAATTACGTCTAGGGGGACAAGATGTTTACAAAATTCTTTGTGGTAAAGCAGCTAGTATGTAGAGGTGTGCATACACTTTACCGTATCTAATGACGTCAGTTTTTATTTCAGTGAATCACTCTTTGTTTCTGTAAAGTCTCTACCAAAAATACTGAAAATCAATTCCAGTAATGCCGATTATTTGAGGTTATATTATTTCGAATAAGAGGTCGTTTTTATATAAGATGTTTGTTCAGTAAATAAAATCGTTATTTTAGGTCGACTGCAATTTACCATTGGGTTGCTTTGGTACTTATTAAGATCTTTTCAAAGTCTGATTTAAATTATCATTTATTTAGAATGTGACTTTCCTATAAACTCTATATTAACTGTTGGTTGAGTAAATCATAAACTTGTTGTTAAGACATTTTGATCTAATTATTTTACATCTTTGAATTCTTCTATCCGACCATTTTAAACGGTTATTAGTGGTCCGGTTTTACATGAACTATCATGATAAGCTTAAGTGGCCTTCACAGAAATAATAAAACTGATGTGATTTTCTGTGGTATTCCTGGTCCGTAATTTCACTAGTTTAACATTCTGTTTTGTCTGGCTTATACACAATTACTGTGTTAGGTAATTTTTATGAGGTATTTCGGAATTATTTTCATGCTTATGAGCGTATCCGATCATTTTTGTCATTACCGCTCATTGAGCTACATACTTCGAATACATGGTGGCTTAGTTTACATGTATAACGTGTAAAGACTTATTTAAAAATGGGTTTACTTTTTGAACATATATTTTTAATAAACGTCACGATATGAAACTTTTTGTTGGAGTAACACAGTCAGGCTACATTTTAAGAATCCCATCTATGTTAATAATATCCCTTTTAATAAGAAAAAAAGAATTCAGGGGAGAAAATTTTCCTCGCCGAAGTTTCTTTTTTCCGTTAGCATAATTGGCTGTGTGTTCCTGTTTTGATATTGTCTTGTTTCTTAAAGTGTGTAAATTGTTAAATAAAGCATCAATGCTCCTGCTATAGATTATAGGTAAGGGGTAATCTGATATCAGTAGGTTTTCTTAAATAAGTTGGCTAGACTCCCACGGAAACTAGGAGATATATATTGCATTCTACAAAGTCATAACAACAAATGACAATATGCAGTGATCATGAACTTTATCCTTGATGTGCGATAAAGTGTTCTGTACAAGTTTAGTATATCTGAGATAGTGACACTATCTACTGACTCCAAGTACGACAATTCCATTTAAGGGATTTTAATTAGCAGACGTCGTAAAGTTTAAATGAGAATCATACGTTTCGTCCAGACTAAGGAATCTACATTTCCGGACACTCCTCGGGAAAGCGGTCGATAACTCTATAGTTTAAAGCTGTTTCTTCGTTTAGCAAACATTAACATATTTTTAATATATTTTACCTCCAACCAGTATTTTTCATCGGATTAGGAGATGTGTGATGCTTACTTTAAACACCTCATATGGTGTTAGTTTAGGGTTTCATCAGTCGAATTCGTTTTTCCTGGTAAACAACCCTTAACTTAGAGATAACTTCGTGATTCTACGAATATTTATAGCCTACTTCCATACTTTCTATTTTTAGACAGAACGTTTCATCTTCTTAGAGCCATACAGATTAGACTGTTAGCAGATGGATATTTTATCTGTTTCATAAGCAGTGTAAGATGTTGAAAGCTGAAAAAGCATTTTGCACGCGTACTTAGATTTGCTCAACCATCAACCCACCAAGAATTCCAAGACAGGTAGATCTTTCAATGCACTCGTCTACTTCATTTTCCACCGTGAAACTAGCGATTGGTACAAGCCTTTTCTAAATTAATATTTTACACTCAGTATGAAGGAAACATATTCTATGTAAAATAGGATTTATAGCAAACAGTACTATCCTTGAGTCAATAAATTAGTGTTATGATTGTGGAAATAACTAGGAAAAATTCACCATAAATTTATGAATAATTCATCAAGGAAACAATGGTTATGAAAACAGGAATATATTGTATGGAGATGGATCTATAGTATGTTGATAAATATTTCATTGTCAAAATCACTTCAAAATATTACTACATAAACTATATCTCATATTTTCAATTGTATAACACATTCGATGAAGAGAGATAATTGTCGTCAGTCTTTTAAAACTACAAAATTTAACAATCATTATTCATTCTAGGCACATCTATCAATTTCATAACTATAGTTTGCCTTATTTCCTGGTTTCCCATTATCCAATGGTATATTATTTGTTCTTCTCTCTAAAAAAAGTGGGTTTTTTAAATTTATAATAGGTTTTCATTTCATTTCATTCTAGGCTTCAGTTCAATAACTAATATAGGTGATTAATATCATTAAGCTTAGTAAAACAATATGATTTCTTGAATTATTACAATACATATACTTCCAATTAGAAAATAAAGAATTATTAATGATGAATATGATTAGACTGAAGCTTACATTATTAAACTATTAATCAGTGAATAAAACAGACTTCTTAAATTCTGAATCAATACAAAGAAAGTTAATCAGTTTATTAACAGGAAATAAAATATGTTAGTTGTTTTCAATGTAATACAAGTTGTCAGTGAATATTGAAAGATACTTTATCGGTAACCAATCATGAAGGAAATGAAATTTTCAATCTTTTCTTTTTCATTGTATATAAATGTAAAAATATGTTAAAAGGTTTTATCATATTTCATTCTTTTTTTTCTTTTCTTTTCTTTTCTTTTCATATTTTTTCTTGTTTTTCTTCGACTTTTTATACAAGCCATTAGTTGAATCATTAATCAATTTTGGTATTTTTGTTTCGATATTGTATATTTTGCATAGAAATAGTTAATATTTTTTTCATTCCCCCACCCACCACCACCACCACCATCACTACAATCTTATGCATAGTCTAGATTATATCATTGTATTTTTTGGAGAGCAATATACACTTTATATATATTTCTTTTGACAAGTATCCTTGATTACATGTTATAGTTTTAATAGTCGAACTTGTGATACATAATGTATATATATATATATATGCTATTTTGTTGAAGTCTATTTTCTTCGAAATTCTCCGTCTTTATTTATATGAAGAGAATGATCACTTTCCAATAAGTCATTACTTGTTTTGGCTTTTTCTTCAAAGATATATATATGTGTATATATTTCTTTGTTCCCCTTTAAAAACGATTAACAGTATCTGTTGACTAAATGAATAAATTATAGATAATTTATTGTCTATGACAGTTTTGATGTCTAACAATTCTCATCATATAATGAATGAGTGAATGAATGAAATATATGCCTAGTCCTGTCCACAATCAGTTTCCGTATTTCCTACTTTTCATTCAGACAGATTGGTCACTTTGTAGATATATGTTTGTATATAGTCTGTATTGTAAATAAAATTATTGATTATACACTAATCGATTGGTAATAATAATAATAATAATAATAATAGTAGATAAGGTAATTGTTTATTTCGTTTATTCTTCTTCTTATTATTTTTTCTCCTTCTTACATTTCATTATGTATATTGTCAAGACTTTGAGATGTTTTCTTTCTTTTAATTAATTCCTGTCTAGAAAGAATTAATTGAAGTCTTTAATAGTTGTATATAAAATTTATTCAGAAGTCTAGTTCTTTTACACTATGAATAAATGGAATATGTTGTATAGTTGTTTAAAATTAGATCGTAGGTAAAAATCTAAGTGAATTAATAAAACAGCAGAAATATTATGCTTAGCTTAGATGTGACACTTCAAACCGAGATCCTAAATTTCACCTTTCTGGAATATATATATATATATATATATATATATATATATATATATGCGTGCATACAACCACTGCCAGGGAAGTCCTACACACTACCTCTTCTCGACATTACTGTTGTCTACGAATTTGAGAGGGCGAAAAGTGAATATCCGGTGCTTTAACCGGGTTGGTGGACACGAGGAATCTACATAGGGGGGGTTGTAAAACCCTGATTCCAAACCAATGGTGCACATGGGTTCCAGTATCCTGTGGGAACAAATGGCGTACGAAACCAACGTTGGTCACCGGCTACCATTGGATTTCATCTCCTGACGTTACTCCACCGCCTTGTGGATCAGACCTTTAGGTTAAAGGCTGCGGTGTGGCCACCTATGACAACTACCTGCTCCGGTTTGGGCACCCGGGTAGTATCTCAGCCCTCACACAAATCTAAT